ATTTATATACATGAGTGAAATGACTAAGGTAAGAGAATCAACTCCAAATAATTTTATTTGTATTAAGGAAACTAAAAAATTATTTATAGTTAAATTACTTACTTTTGTGATAAGCATTATCATAGATATGTCTTTTGAAAGTAATTTTAATAGATTTGTTAGAGAACAATATAAAATTTTTTCATTTGATGAATTTGATTCCTTAACATCAGGCGTTTACGGATCGTTATTCTGTGCAATGATTCATGGAACTGTAGTTCACTATAGTAGATTAGGATAGTATGAATTTTTTTATTAAAATTTACTTTTTTAAAAAAACCTTATATGGAAATTTTTGTAAAAATAAATATATAACATTTTTAGCAAAGTTTTAAAGAATATATTAAAAGTCGTTATTAAAATTTCTTATTTACTTCCTTTCATTAAAAAAACTGTTTTTAAAAATAAATTTTAAAATGTTTTCTAGTTTATATCTTGTTGTACTAAAAAGAAGTTTTTTTAATATTTCTTATTCTTAAAAGTGTAATATTAAAACTATCTTTATATAATTAATAAGTAATTTAGTTTTTAGCTATGAAATATTAAAAATACATTGTTGTTTATTAAAATAATAAAAAACAAGCTATCATAACTGTAAAAAGCTTTTTATTTTATCTTAAAGAACTAAGTATAAGTTTTAATAATTATTTTATCTAATTCGTTATTGATTATTTTATAATAATAAAGTATTATAATATTAATAATATACTTTGTTAAAAAAAACATAATTTTTAAATTATTATAATCTTACATTACGAATTACAATCTATTGAATATTATATTTAATATTTAAATCTACAATATAAACTTAAATTATTAATATACAAATTAAACATAATAATTGAGAATTAAAAAAAGTTTTTTAAAAATAAATCTAAATTAAAACATTATACTTAATTTAAAAAGTTTTAAAGATTAAAAATTTAATTGTTCTATTTAATTTATCTAAAAAAGTATAAAAAGTTATTTTTTTAATTACTAAAAAATTTTTATATTTTTCTAACACTAAATAGAAATATTAAAACACTAATACTTTTTGTTTAACTTGAAAATTTACATACGATTTGTAAAATATTTTAATAAAAATTATACTTAATTTAAACTAATAAATAGTAATTAAATGAAAAGTTAATTACTTTATAAAATAATAATAAAGTTTTATTTAAAAACAAATTATATTATTATTGATAGAGGTAATAAAATATGTCCTTGTGTTAATTCATCCAAATTATTATACTAATTTCATTACAATAATTAATTAAAACAAATTTGATAAATTAAACAAAAAAGAAATATTTTTATGTTTGAAAATAAAATAATAAAATAGAAGTAATTTATAAACAATTATTTTAAAATAAAAAAATCAACTGGTTCTCCTGTTTTTGAAACAACCAATTATTTCTAAAATATAAAACAAAAAATATAAAAAATTTTTATAAAGGAGTTACATATGGTAGTCAATTCAAAAGAAGTTAGTGGTAAAGTAGTTGTAGTTGGAGATGGTGCATGTGGTAAAACATGTATGTTAGAAGTTTTTAAGAAAAATGAGTTTCTAGAAGATTATGTTCCAACAGTTGTTGATAACTACGTTAAGAAAGTAGAATTTGATGAAGATAAAGATATTAGTTTAGCAATATGGGATACAGCAGGACAGGATGATTATGATACAATTAGACCATT